TCAGTCATTAATTCCAACATTAATTTCAGGTGAAAATTTCTCCATACAGTTGCAGGGAACAGAAGAATTCCTGTATTGTTTTGGTTTTGCTATTAGAATGGCCTTTAGGACTAAAAAAGCAACCCCCTGTATTGTTTTGGTTTTGCTATTAGAATGGCCTTTAGGACTAAAAAAGCAACCCCTCAAAATATAACAATTTAGTTGGTTTTTTTTTTTTTTGGTTTGTTGTTTTATTATTTAAATATATTTGTTATTTTGTTAACAAATCTCTCACAACACACCCAACCTTTTAACTTTTTCTTGATATTGGAAAGGCTGTTCCAGCTTGTGCTGCAGCAGATTTACTGCTACAGGGTAAAATATTTAGTCATAAGGAAATTCACATTTTGAACAAATAGTGTGTCTTCCTTAATCTCCCCCCAAAAAAAGCATCTCCACATAATTAAATAGTTGAAAGAATTTCTTCCAGATGCTTTGAAACATCTTTCAGCTCTATCTGCTGAAATGCCAAATGGCTTTCTCATTTCTGCTGCCTGCCCAGGGCAATGCTGTCACAAAGGAGAACACAAAGCCCCACGGGTCACTGTCTCCAGAAATAAATGACAGTTGTGCCACCAAACTGTACCTGGCTGTGATGTTATTGTGTTGTTGGCAAATTTGGCTGTGCAGGTCACCTCTGTGTCTTGTGTCACACTGACCACCTTAATTGCATTGTACAGCCCCTCTGATGTCAAAATGGATCTGCTCTGTTCATACACCACCTCCGTAGCAGGCATCTCCAAGCTGATGTTCTTTGTAATGAAGTTCCTTGCCAAACAAGCTGCTTTCCCAGTGCTGCCACCTTCTTTCAGTTTCCTTGATTTCATCACAATGACTTGAGGGAGAGAAGTTTTTGGAATGTCTGTAAAGAAAAGCATGCTTTGGACAGGACTGATTTTACTGCAAGCTTACCCAAGTGTTGCCTGACTGAAAATTCACATGTACTCTAGCTGTGAATAATTTGTAGCATTACTGGTCTTTCTGTGGTCTTTATTTCTTCTGCTTCCTCCAATAGATTAAGTTAAAGACAGAAAGGGGTATGTGGGGCATATTTCATAAGATATTTAATCCCACAGCTTCCTTTTGCCAAGGCTTATGCTTGTAAGTGAGCCCTTGATTTCATAGAGGACCTACACACAGACAAGAAGGAAACTTTTATGAATACC